TTTAACAAGTTACACCATTATAATCGTCTCGTTAGTACCTTCGAAATGAGTCCAATATTGAATAGTTTTTGACTTAATTATATTATTATATATTATATATACTGTGAAAAAATATTTTTAATATTTATGATTTATACTTTTATAGTTATTTATTTATATATATACTATATATTTTGGGTTTAGTCTGTCCAAATTGCAATGTATAGTATGTTTTAAATTAATATGTTCTTGGGTTTTTTTGATATATATATATATATATATATATATACATGTATTAATTCAATCTTAATCTGAGTTTCTGGACAAGAAAGAGGGTAAACAGTTGAAATTTCATTCTAAAACCCATCTTTTTTGTCTTTTCATGGCTTATGATCTGTCAAATTTGTAGTTTTCTTTATTAGTTTTGAGTGTTTATCTTAAAACTCAAGTTTCTTGGTTCTTTGCTCTTGGTGTAAATCGAATACATTTGTGGAGTCGTTTAAATATGTTGGATTTTAAATATATTGGATTTTAAACTGTCATACAATTTTTTCCATCGATAATCTGTAATTGGAACCATAACTCTTACTTATTCAAATTGTATTAATATGTAAAGACCAATAAATCTTATCTTATAAAACCAGTGAAACTTTAAAATCGTTAAAATTCATGGCTTTCGCCGCATTGCACGGATACACAACTAGTTTATATTAAATTGGTAAAGCCCAATTAATTCCATATTTTTCAAAAGCCTAATTGATTATAGTAAAAGTAACTTAGAATGGGGCTTTATGGATCAATTGGGCATTGTATAAGTTGGATCCAAATTTGTTAAAAAAATTGCCCAAAAATAAAAAACCTTAAGGGCCTTTGATTGCGGGTATAAAAAGATAGAGGTGCTTATGGGTTGGGTTGATTAAGTTGAAGATATTTGAACAATTCAACTTAATGTTTTTTTTTTTGAAGTATATCTATACTATATTATAAATCATTTGACAAAAACTCTTAAAAACCATTTTTTATGCATAAAGTATTGTATATTGATGCATATTACTTAAAAATCAAGATTACAAGTAAATTATGCATTAAGTACAACTTATTAACGCTTTATATTTGAATTTGTGTAACTAACTACGAATAAACATAATCAAATAGAGGATAAACATTTCATTTTAAAATATAATTATGATAATTATCGAGTTTCTAACCGAATGTTTAATTATTATCTTTAATAAAAATTATATTGTTAAATCAAAAATAAATTACTTTGTTATTATACCTGAATTAAATTATAATAAAAATCTATACTATATTATAAAGCATTTGACAAAAACTCTTAAAAATCATTTTTTATGCATAAAGTGCTGTATATTGATACATATTACTTAAAATTCAAGATTAAAAGTAAATTATGCATTAAGTACAACTTATTAAAGCTCAATGTTTAAATTCGTGTAACTAACTACAGATAAATATAATCAAATAGAGGATAAGCATCTCATTTAAAATATAAAAAATCCAAAATACAATTAGGATAATTATCGAGTTTCTAACCGAATGTTTAATTATTATCTTTAATAAAAATTATATTATTAAACTAAAAATAAATTACTTTGTTATTATACCTAAATTAAATTAAAGAAGTTACACCAAAAAATGAAAACTATTAAATAGTTAATTCAATACTAATATTGATTTTTTTTTATTTTTTTATGCTATCTTTAAATTTATATTTCATTCAAAAATAAAAACAATATCGCTTTTTCAAAACCACATAAAATTATATTACATCGATAGAGACAAATAATAAAAATTAAACATTAAAATGGAGATTTATCTTACTGCATTGCGCGAGTACCCTTCTAGTAATATTTATATACGGCAAATGCAACAAATAAACTCACACACCACCCTCACCTATGGTGAGGTTTGGACCCCTGACCTTCTAGAAGACCAAGGGCTACGATATCGTTAGGCCAAAGACCCTTTGGTAATTCAACTTAATGTTTGCGGTTTGAAAAGTCTTAACCCAACCAAACCCAAACCGTACGGGTTGGTCGGGTTAGTCGGATTGATACTTTGGTAGATTAAAATATTATTATAACTTTGAATATGTTATTTCTCTAGTCATAATTTATTTTTCATCATCAACCATTTGATACAATTTATCGATACTTCTTATGTATATCACATTCAGTTAATTTTCTCAATTTACATATATATGTTCACAGTTACTGCCATATGTACGAATGAGTTATATAGAGATGTGAATAGATTGTAAATATGTGTATATAGAGAGCTACGTGGTAGTGTAATTGTCTAATGTATATATTAATAGAAATTCAACAATCATATTAGATCCAATAAATAAAAGGATATTAGGTTCATCGGGTTGGGTTGAGTTCAAATAATAGTAACCAAATATCAACCCAATACCTACGATTTGAAAAATTTACAACTCGATTAGACATTGGGTTGTTTCAGGTTGAGTTATTTCGCGTTGGGTTGGGTTGGGTTGGATTGATCGGGTTTGTCGGGTTTTTGAGCACCCCTACAAAACACAAAAAGGTGACCAATGAAAACTGTAAATCATTAATAATGTGTGGTTATATATAAAATAAGAATTAAAAAAATAATAATATGGGTGTATAAAAATCAGACCAACCCAACACGAAATAACCTGACTTGAAGTGATCTGATACTTAACTAAATTGTAAAATCTTCAGATATTAGGGTATTGGTTAGGGTTATTTGAAGACAGTGAATCTAATTGTGCTCAATATACTATACCCCTTTATGTAATAGCAGTACCTTTGATTTGTGTTGTCATGACAAACAACCAGTAGTTGTTTTTTTTTTTAACAAGTCTACCAAAATTATACCTGTAATTTAACTTGTTATTTAAAAAAGCTGGTGTTCATCTGACGTTTTCTTTATCCATCGTATAATATAAAAGGTCAATTATCTGGTACTAGTGATTGACGATTGTTTAAATATTTGTTGTTGGGTTGCGATTACGTCATAACTTGATGAACTCATCATATACAGTTTGAATTGCTGTATGCATTCTTATTTATGTCATAATTAAGTCAAATCATATATTGAAAATGTAAGAAGTAAGTCTTGATATCGATGTATGTGAATATTACACTTGTAGTGTCCCTCAAGTTAAATTATGTTGTTCAAACGCTTCAATGTAGAAGCAGTATGAAGTCTTGAAGGAAAACGTCACTAAAAAAGCAGATTTTATCCTCCAATCGGTACCAAAACGATGTATTGCTTCTTTTTTCAGGCAGTCAGACCCTTCATATCTTCTCTTTTAGGGTTTGTTGAACTTCAATCGATCAATTGAACCGGTCAAACCATTACCTATAGTGGTGCATACAATGACACATGCCACCATATTATTCATCCGTCGAAGGGTAAATATTTTTAGATTAGTGAAATATGCAATCGTATTAATTTGTTGCGTGACACCGTATGTATTTTGAAACTACAATGAGAACAAATTTTATTTGGTAGAGGTGGTTTACAAGGCTTTTATTCCACCCAAGACCCGATTCGAATCTTGTTAGTATCGTTTTCTTAGTCAAATAGTGCTACTATTTGAAAAAAAATTCGTATATTTGTTTCTTATAGTCAAATGGTGCCACCGTTTGAAAAAAAAAATTACATATTTTTTTCTTATAGTTAAATGATGTCACCATTTGAAAAAATTTATAGATCCGTCCCTAATTCCCTCCATACCCTCCCCATCATCGTCTCTTCCCACACCTCCATCGACTGCCAACACCAAACATGATTAAGATTTGAGTATGCAGAGTAGCCATGACAGATGGAGGCAAAGCATATAGGATGCATCTGATATGCAGACTACATGGGACGAGACAAGATCAAAAAAAATAGTCCCATGTTTGGCATGCCACAGACAAAAAGAGCATAGGACAAAGTGAGACTATTTTTAATTTTCATGAGATAAATCTTGAGATTTTTTGTTCTACCATAAAAGGTGGAACAAATGGGACAAATTATAAAATTACTTTTATACCCTCAAATTTCAATATAAAACCTCCATTCTTCCTCCATGTCAACTTGTCAAGTACGCTCTCTACCTTTCAAAATTACTTTTATACCCTCAAATAATAAAATTACCTATATACCCTCAAAGTATAATATATTTTGGTTGATTTGTTGTCATTTACAATCATTATATTATATAAAATAACATTGAACACCATTTAGGGGTAATACGACCATTTTAACAGTTTTGTCCTGTCCTAACCTAGTCATACCAAACATAGAATAGACAATTAGTCCCGTCCCATCTCGTCTCATTCTGTCTTATCCAGTCTGCGTATCAAACACTACCGGCTCAAAGGACCCATGCTCAAGGTAAAAAAAAAGTAATTTAAAACCTTTTTTCTTATTGGGCCTCCGACTTGAAGCTCTTAAGCCCACAGGACACACTCAGAGCCCGTTTACTTAGACAACCTGCCATGGTGAGAAGCCGAGAACGGAGAACGGAGAACGGAGAACCAGAAGTCGTCCAGTGAACGTACGAGAACAAGACTACGAGAGTTAGGGACTGTTTGGTTTTTTATATTAAGCTCTTAATCTCTCAAGTCAGACGTTTTTGGTATTAACAGCGTTTGGCTTTTTTTTTTTCTTCAAATACACAGCCGCTCTCGCTCTCACGCTCTCTGACGCAATCGATCCCAAAATCGCTCGATATCTAACAGCAATTGATCTCTCACGGGCTCTCTCTCACGCAATCGATTCAAAAGGTATGTCGATTTCTACCTCCTGCTTCATATATATCTATATATATATATACATATACGATTTGATGGTTCTTCCTTACTGGAGATTTTTGATGGTTAATTTTTACTGGTTTGTCCAAGCTATTTTATAGACTGTAAGTTGCTTCTGTTTGATTTTAGTGAACCCAGCCTAGTAACCTACAAATGTAACACGATTTTGATTCTGTTGAAAGCCTTTGCTGCTAATAGATTAAGATCATGTATGTTTCTTTGTTGTAGTTTACAACTATTTTGTACCACATGCCAGGTGTTTGATGATTTGCCCATATGAAAGCTTGGATGTTTATGGAATTATGACTTCTTTTGTGTTTATTTTCCTACTTTTGGTTACGGTTTGGGTTTTCAGTAGTTCAAATTTGAATGCTTGTTGGTTTTTAGCATTTGTTTGCAGTTAAATATGTTATGCCCTCTAATACCCAAATAACATATTGCATATGTATGTACTGGATTAACATCTTCAATATACTTGAATCTACCCAATTTTACCAAATACAAATTTAGTTTCACAAGAAATGATGGGCTTATGTACATGCAAAATAGGAGTTTTTAGGTAAAGAGGCTTGTCAAAATGTACCCATTGGTTTGCTAGCGACCAAACACATTGACAATCTAAATGCAGACTAGCTTGTGGATTTTTACGTTGTGGTGATATTTGATAAGCTCTTCTTTTTTATTTGATTTTTTGTTTTTTAGCAAAATGGAATCTGGAAACTAGAAGTTTGTACACTCACTTGTTGAATTTAGCTATACAATAATGCTTATGTCAAGCTGAATAGTTGTCATGGCTATATCAAATTCATAGGGTGAGCATATCAGCACTTAGGTTTGTTCCCACTTTTGCAATAATATTGTATGCAACAGCTCATGACAATTATAGTAGTCAGATTTAACTAATAACCATTGGCCAGATAAAAAGATAACATATTGTTGACAAATAGTAAGGATTCATAGAAATGTTCTCTCTTGAAGGGAAGTACTAGATTAGGTGAAAGCAAATGAAAAGTTGCAGCTTCTTTCAGGAGTATGTGAGATTTCATGTTTAAGAGTCCTAGACATCAAAAGGACAACTGCTAGCTTTGTTTTCGTGGCATCCGATGTTGTCTATAAGTATAACCTCAAAAGGGTATTCATGAAATTTTTTGCTTTGTCTGTATTATGGCATTCCTGATCTCATAATTTCCCTTTGTCCCAATAATTCATATTTCATTATATGGTGGAAACAAGTGTTGGAAACATTTTGATTGCATATCATGTGTTTCCCATTTTCCTCATGTTTGATGTATATCGTCTCTACAAGTGTGCTATGCCATTTTATTTGTCTATATTATGTTTGACACTGATATTTTTCCTGACCTGAGTTATATTTGATATAGATTCTCCTTGGAAATACCCAGAATGGCATGATACATGATGAATTTTTTTTAATAAGTTCATGATGATGACTATTGACAAGTTCTTTTCTATGCTTATGTTTAATTTGATTTAATATTCATTATGATTCCTAGCCAATTACTTAAGAATTTTGTTATGAGCTTCTTATTTGCAATTACTTGTTATGCGCTTAAGAATTCATAATGACTCTTAAGAGACTTTGTTCGTGTTTAATATTGTGTGTGGAATCAATTGACGTATTTCAGTTGAAGTTATGAATGTGTTAAAAAATAGATGGTAGTTTACAAATGGTTTAAATAATTGGATATTTCAGTTTAGTTGAATTTAATTAAAATAAAATTGTTTCAAATTTTAGACTTCAAACGTTTATCAGTTTACAAAAACAAACAGTCTTAGATGTAAAAACAAACAGTCTAACTCATTTAAATTTCAGACTTCAGCACCACCTCTTGTAAATCAGAAGTGAAATCAAACTTCAGAGTTCAGACTTCAGCATCTCTTAAATAACAAATGCCACCTTAGCCTCTGTTTTGAAATCGATTTTGAACGTACAGTCCAGAACGATTTTGAATCGATTTCGGAATCAATTTTGAAATTTGAGAACAAGATCGGCTGTAGTTGTGTCGAGCAGTAAACTGTGAACGCGTACCAATCCAGAAATTGATTCTTGGTTTTTAGGTAAAACCCTAAAACACTTCTTGCTTTTATTTTTTATTTTGGTTTCTGATTTAGAAACGAGAATCTGATTTTGATAACTTGATATGTCATATGTTATTGACTGATGGTAACCTACCTAGCAATATGATTTTGTTTCCTTTGTTTCTTAGGCTTTAGTTAGCTTCTGTTTTGATTTCTGATTTAGAATAGAAACTGATTTATATTTTGCTATTGTTTTTTTTGAAGTATATAATATTTATATACGACAAATGCAACAAATAAATTCACACACCCTCCTCATCTTTGGTGAGGTTTGAACCCTTGACCTCCTAGGAGGCCAAAGGCCCTTTGGTTATATGCTATTGTTATTGCTAGAAAAAAATGGAAAAAATCGTTAAAAGAAAAGCATCAACACCCGAATCTAGCTCTACTCTTTCGATGCCTAGTGAAATTGATTTGAATGATCTTTCTTGGGGTCCAGCCGATAAGAATAAATTTTTAGAGTATCATCCTAATCAAAGAGATGAAACTAGAAGAAAATATTTGATTGGAGGACATTGCCAACCACGAGGCCATAACTTTACAAGAAAAATTATTATGGGTAAAGGAAGGCGTTTTTGTCCATCTTGGTTTGATCAATATGCCAATTGGTTGGAGTATAGTGTAAAAACAAATAAAGTTTTTTTTCTTGTGTTACTTGTTTAGAGATCATCATGTGGGAAAATGTGTGAGTGATGCTTTTGTGATGGAGGGCTTTAATAGTTGGAATAATACAGAAAGACTTACTCTTCATGTGGGCGATGTTAATAGTTTTCACAATAGAGCAATTATGAAAAGTGAGGATCTAATGAGACAAAATCAATCTATTGCCGTTGCCTTTCATAAGCAAACTGAGATTGAGAAGAATGAGCACCGAATTCGATTAAATGTTTCAGTTAAGGCTTCTAGATTCTTGTTGAAGAATGCATTACCGTTTCATGGTCACGATGAATCTGAAATGTCTATTTCTAAAAGTATGTTCTTGGAAGCATTAAGCTTAATTGGTGATTGCAATGAGGATGTTGGTAAGGTTATATTAAAAAATGCTCCAAAAAATAATCAAACGGTGTCTCGAAGTATTCAAAAAGATATTGCTAGTTGCTTTGCAAATCAAATACTCAAATCAATTCGTGAAGAAATTGGTGATGATGTGTGTGCATTGCTAGTTAACGAGTCTAGTGACGTTTTTAAAAAGGAACAAATGGCGGTGGTTTTGCGATATGTTGATGAACATGGTATTGTTAAGGAGAGATTTTTTGGTATTGTTCGTGTGACGGGGACATCTTCTTCAATCCTTAAATCTGCCATTGATACTTTATTTGCCAAACATGGATCGAGTTTGAAACAGGTATGACGGAGCAAGCAATATGCATGGTGAGTTCAATTGATTAAAAGCTTTGATCTTGAATGATAATAGCTCGGCATATTATATCCATTGTTTTGCTCACCAACTTTAATTAGTTGTTGTGGCGATTGCAAATAAACACGACGGTGTTGAGAACTTCTTTAATATGTTAGGCATGGTGACAGTGGCGGATCTAGAAAAACTTATAGTAGGGGTCACAATATAAAATGAAATAATAATTAACTAAAAGATATGGGTTCATTAAAAATGATACAAGTCGGGGACATTTGTAAGCACAATTGTAAGAGGTAACTTTTTATCATTTTTAATGAAATCGTATCTTTTAGTTAATTATTTTTTCATTTTATATTGCGACCCCTGCTATAAATTTTTCTGGATCCGCCACTGTCCATCATTGTCTCTTCCAAAAAAATTGGCTATGAACTTCAACGATGAAACTTAGGGCTTTGGACTTGAATAGTAAAAGATGAAATAACATGATTGGAAAATATAAATAAGAGATGTGTGATAATTTACTTGATTCCCGTAAATTCCTTAGAGAGGAAGACTGGTGGAGGTTGGTTGATGTTGTCACGCCGAAGACACAGGAAATCGCATAACTCGTACAAGTTTTAAAGGTGAAATTTAGTTGACAAACGTCAAACTTTCAATAATTTGTCCATTAACTCACTCCATCGGATACGAAAGAACCACCAACTTCATAACTGATCGCCGATCAATCAGGTAGTCATATGTCGAACACAACGTAAACCTGCAATCTATGAGTTCAAAATATTCATGGCGCCTTTTGGTTCATCTTCAGGAACGGGAATGGTTATACTCGTTGAGATTTTTTTACATTGTTTTGTTGTTGATGCATGGAATTAACATAACACATCTTCGTCATTATTATTCACAGCTCTAGCTTTGACTCACTATGGATCTACTCCGCAATGCCTATTCCACTACTAAGGATGAAGATGAAGAAAACAAAAAGTACGCTCCGCCTCCCCTCAAGCGAGCCAAACCTGAATTTTCACATACATCCAGCAAAAATTTTCCCACCGATTGGCTCAAACATACATCAACTGAAGCTCCAATTGCAGGCAGATATATATCGAAGCGAGAACGAGCACTCATGGCTACGGTTCCTCAAACTCCCAATGCAGACCCCCCAACTTCTTCAGGCTGTTTCCATGGTTTGGTTTCTTAACTTGCCTTCTATAGTTTGGTTGTTTCCCTCTTGTTTATTATGTATCTCTCTTTGAAATGATGGAAGTACGAAAGCAGATTATTGGGTATGCCATAAGGTTGACTGATAAGTTCAGGAAAGTGATGAGATGTGGGATCAAGAGTCAAGGTACCAGATGTGCACATGCTGTTTTTGCAAAACAAATTAAAGATTTTTAGGTAGCCATTTCATAATGGGTCCTTTAAAGTTAGGCTTAGGGGTCTCATTTTTCTTTTTGCTCGGAGGTTCTGACTTAGCACCTGGTTTTCCAGTCGTAGCTGGCTTGCCAGGTTTGGCCTTGGGAGCCTGCTTTCCTTTTGGTCTTTGGAGAATTTCTTTTAGATGACCTCGAGAGAATATAGTTAGGACTAGAGAGGTGTTGTTTTAATTGCCGCAACAGAAAAAGACATTTGCAATTTTGAATACACTTTTGAAGACAAAAAGAGCCATTGGATTCATAAAACTTTGGAGTCTTTTTATTACAATCGTTCCTAGCATTAGTCGTTCTAGTAAACTTCCTATCTAGTTCAGATTGATTTTTGAAACCAGCCTTGGTCTTCTCTGGTTGCACTCTCTTGTTCCTTTTCTTTCCCTTAGCCTGATTTATCATTAGCAATCCATTTCCCTTTCTGTTCCTGAGTGAACTTGATTGGCTTTTGAAAGATTGAACTTGAAGTTTTTGATTCGGAGGTTTTAGACTTTTGCTCTTTTCTCTCTTTCTAGCTCAAGGCAAGATTTGGCTTTCAAGCACATATCCATGAAATCAGGACACATGTGAACCTTTTTCTTCTGTACCGTAATTGGAATGGATTTAAGAGGGATCCCATTTGTAAGTTTTTCAACCTCTGGTCCTCGCACCACTATCTCAGTCTCAAGATGCTCTGTATCCAAATCTTCCTCTGTCTCAGAGTCAAGAGTCTAGAAAATCTCGTTTAGGACTTGGGATGTTGGAGTTTTCGTTGAGCACTTGTGGTTTTCCTTTAATATAATCAAATTTCTGCGTAAACTTTGGCTATTTTGGGAAGAGGCTCTGAAAAGTGGCTAAAAAGTGAATTTGGTTGATGGGATTGGTTATCAGATAGTTATTTGTATAAAATCACATTTGCCCATTTAGAGTGGTTTTCTTCTTGTGTTGGTAGCACATTTCCTTTGATTACTACTTATCTCATGGTCTCGGTATTCAATAAAGTGAGCTAAGAGGTTGTTTACAATATCTTTTGATTCTTAGTTCAAGGAAGCATCTCAGATTCATACATACGAAAAGATATTTTGTCATCGTTGAGAAATCGAACGGAGGGCTATGCAAATTCTGGCCACAAATCTGAGGGCATATCCACAAATCTTATTGGGCATTCAAAGGCCGTGAATGCTCTACAATGGTCAAAAACTCAATGTAAGGATTATTTCTTGATTTGTGAATTAGCTTCTTTTGTTTATTCTTTTTATCCCTCATATGGTGCCTCAATGACGCATGCACACTACAACAAAATCGGTTTTATAGGACTCCTAAAATGTCTAAGCGTTCTAATAAAATACTTTTTAGGACTTTAGTTCATAGGACCTAACCAAAAAGTGTTCTATCCACTTGTACAATGCACTAGCAGCTTGTACCTTCCTAATATAGCCTTCCAATGTTGACCCCTACTAATATCAACCAGTAGACTAAGGACTACCACAGTACCCAGGGTATAACAGAATTGAACTCACCGCCATTTGAATGGTCTACTTGAACCAGCAACCTTAACCTGATCGTCATGTGAACAGGCAGAAACAAAAACTACCATACAATTGTTTATGCTGATTTGTGCTCGACTTTCGACTGTCTCTTCCAATTAAAAAACGCGCTCCTTCCATCTATGAGAAAACCCTCTCAAACAAAAACCTTCTCAATCCAAACAGACAAATTAATCCAACACAGACAGCTTTATCCATACTGACTTGATGGAAAATCAATCAAACAGCCTCTTAGTTTGTTCCACAATAAGAGTCCACTTTCAAAAGTGTCTACTTTCCAATTCTATCCTTAATTATGAGATGGAGATGTTCATTACTCCCTCTGTTATTAACGATAAAATTGTCATTTAGTTGATAAGGATAAATAGTCGCACATTTCTGAAACTGTATGCCCTTTTAATTGTGGACATTTATTTTGGGACAGAGGGAGTAGTTTTTGAAGGTCGTTAGAATCAATTGAGATATGTCACCAAGGAGGCAAAGTTGTTTATCGTCATGCAAATTATGTGGGATGTATGCAGAGGGTCCTTCGTTAAATCACCTTTTGCCAATAAAAATTTAAATCTATGAACCTTCTGATTTAAAAAGGTCATGGATTTAAAAAACACTTGTCTGGCGGTCATTTAGCTGAATAACCCTGTAACTCAGATGTGACCTTACCGCAAAGAGTAGAGCGGCTATTTTTGTGAATGATGTTTGCCATTCTGATGTGTTCAATTAAGATAGTTTGCAGCTCATCTTCTTGCATCTGCTGGTATGGATTCTTCCATCTATATATGGAACGTGTGGAGCACGGAACAGAAGAAAGCACGGGTGTTCAACATTCATACTGCAGCTGTGAAAGACGTCAAGTGGTCAGATCAAGGTCTTTATTTGCTCTCTTGTGGATACGATTGCTCTTCGAGATTGATTGATGTCGAAAAAGGGGTAGAAACTCGGGAATTTAAGGAGGATCAGGTTGTTGGAGTTGTTAAATTTCATCCCAATAACTCCAACCTCTTTCTATCCGGTGGATCGAAGGGCATCATTCGGTTATGGGATATTAGAACCGGAAATACGGTGAATCAGTATCTTCGAGGTCTTGGTCCGGTCCTCGATGTGGAATTTACGAATGATACAAGGCAGTTCGTTTCTTCGAGTGATGAATCCAAGAGCAATATCAGCGAGAATTCGATCATCGTTTGGGATGTCTCACGTCAGATTCCTCTATCAAATCAGGTAATTCCTACTCGACATATTTTTCGTCATATGATTACTCCCTCTGTTCCAAAATACATGTCCACAATGAAAAATGCACATTTTTTAGAAATATATAATTATTACAGACAATTTTACCCTTGATAATCGAGGATGTAATGAATTTCTCTATCTCATAATAAAGGGAGAATTGGAAACTAGGCATTTTGGACACTTATTCGGGGTGGAGAGAGTACGGATTTTATAATTATGTTACTTAAAGATAAGTCATTTGTCCAGTATGCAAACTTGCATAGAAACCATGAAACAACTTCAATTACTTGTATGCGCATGTGTATACCGGACAGATGAACGGTTACCGTATTTCTCAGTTTTTCATTTTTAGGGGTTTCCCCAGAACCTGTGTCTATATATATATATAACAGGTTTCTATGAAAATTAGGACTCTAAAACCATTGCAACTTTATTAACATTAAAAAATTGATGTGCTGAAGAATTTAATCTACAAGTATTAATATGAGTAATTAATTGAAAGGGCCTTTAGAGAGTCACTTGGGTTTCTAATTTGAGTTCTTAACCCCAAATACACCGTCATGTTTCTGCTTGTCTTATAACCTTGATTGACTTGGTCAAAACGACTTTCTGTGGCTAATGGCCTCGCTACCGTACATAATTTGCGATTCTTTTTGTGAGCAAAATGTAACAAAGAACCTTTTTTTTTTCCAACCGACGTAAGAGAGTTTCAAAACTTTCTATTACGTACCGTTTTGACTGGTAACCTTTTGATTTTGTCAAATTTGATGATATGGATACCCGTTTATAAAATGTTTACGGTGAAGTGGACAATAAACTTGACCTTCATGTATGTTACCATATCAGCTGGTTCCTAATCAAAATGGATTAAACATAGGAAATTTTGGAACCTCGTTACATTGAATGAGGAAAAAAATCTTTGTTACACTAAATAGAAACTAATGCAGACTTCGGGGCTGTTTGGTTGGTTTCCATTAAGTCTTGTATGGATAAAGTTGTCTATATGGATTAATCTGTCTGTATATAGTGAGTAGTTTTTTGTTTAGGAGGGTTTTTTTTCCATAAATGGAAGGAGCATCTTCTTTAATTAGGTGGGGCAGATGTGGAAAAAACTTAGCTTTCTGCATAAAGCTCCCCCTAGAAGCTTATTGAATAAGTCCCTTTCTATATCATTAAGCCACTACCAAACAATCATGTATAGCTGACCAAATAAGTTGTGAGTCCCATCAACCTCATTAAGCTGCTAATAAACATGCCTTTCGTTGCATATTGATGCATTTTATCTTTTTGCCGTTTGGTTTGGTTGGCTTCGGTGGAAACTAATTATTTGCGCTTTCTTTCTCAGATATATGTGGAAGCTTATACCTGCCCCTGTATAAGACATCATCCATCTGAACCATATTTTGTGGCTCAATCAAACGGGAATTACATCGCAATCTTTTCTTCCAAACCTCCATTTCGGCTTGACAAATACAAGAGGTACGAAAGCCATGGTGTTTCTGGATTTCCCGTCAAGTGTAATTTCAGTATGGATGGAAAAAAACTTGCCTCTGGCTCCTCGGATGGATGCATTTATGTATATAATGCCAAAACATGCGAGCTCATCAAGAAAATCAAGGCGTATGAACAAACGTGCATAGATGTGGCGTTCCATACCGTCATGTCCAATGTAATTGCATCGTGCAGCTGGAACGGCGAAATCTCTGTTTTCGAGTAATTTCAGACGAGTATTTGACAATGAGGGATGGTTTCGACAAATAATTAGATATCATTTAATGGTGATTTGAATGTGGGGTAATGCGACATCAATGAAGTGTAGAGTTACTGGGTTAGGGTCGGGAAAATCGCAAAACAATGAAAAAATTGAGGCATACCCTGGTAACCATGCATATGTGTATACAAGTCATCTGTAAGCAATTTGTCCGTTATGCACATGTGTATAACATGTGCACGTTCATAAAAACCAAATATATCTTCAATTACTAGTATGCACACATGTTCATACTGTCCAAATATGTGGTTACCTAGGTGTTTCTCAGTCCTTAATTTTTTTGTGGTTTTCCCTCGAACCTCCCTTTACTGGGTTATTAAGCCAAATGACCTATTAACAAGTGTTTGTCAAAACCATGACCTTCTAACAGGTTTTTAGCTTATTCTTGACTTTTTTTCTGTTAAACAGTGACATTCTCAAATTAGTACAAAAACCACGGATTTAAAAGTGAGCCACTGGTCAGGTACAAGATACTATCATTACCATCTGGACAATTAGACGTCCAACTCGGATATATAAGCAGTGATTTCAAATCCAGAGGTTTCTGCTAAAGAGGATGTATTGAGCTCATAATTCATTAGATACTTATAATTTTGATTTATTTCTCCATTTACTAACCCATAATCAGATCAAAATTGTCTTTCATTCCATGGCGTAACTTGTATATTCGATTTGCATCGAATTAAACCACATGCTCGAAAACCTGACAGATATTTACTTGTGTATGTGTGCTTCTAGAGTATCCTAGAGGACGGGATGTCGCATTCAAGGCTGCTACCCCACATGCCCACTCGTATGTATTATTGATGGATGTGTTATTTTCGATTGAAACATGTTTGTGTTGGTCGTATCTATAAAGATTCGACACTTTTCAAAGCCGAAAAGCGTGGCGGATTTCTAGCCGACTAGATTTAATCCTCCAAACACCCATGATGGTTTGATCTTGGCTCCAAAGGTCAAAAGTACCAGGAGGTCACAAGGAAGAATAAAAATTCTCTTGTGGCTACGGAGGTTCAAATGCGGTGACTCCGAGCTATCTGCAAAGCAGGTGGTTGCCTTGGGATTAGTCGGCTCGCATAGTGGGTTGGATATTCATGTTAATTAAAAAAAAGTAGTTATACAATGATGATAACATCTAGGTTATGCTATTTGGTTATCTTTCTACATGAAGGGTATGCTCGTTTCGTTTCAAAGTAGAACCCAACCCTATACATCAATTACCGTTATTCAGTGTATATCCTTTAAAATTCAAGGGTACAAGTAATTACTCCATCTGTATAAACCCCACCCACCACAGGTATCCACATTCTTTCCACACCCCTTGAAATATCTGGTTTTCAACTACAACTGATGATCAATTCGAATTGTTCTTATTTCCCCAGTTTGTTATCGATCTTTTAATTATGCATATGTAATATCTTTCTGGTTTCTCTTGAATCAACGTTAACAAAAGTTGCTCCAAAGGTCAAAAGTACCAGGAGGTCTCAGGTTCAAATTCAAGAAGGAATAAAAATCCCCTTGTGGCCATGGAGGTTATGCGATGACTTCGGGCTATCTGTAAAGCAGGTGGTCTTTCTGAGATTAATTGGTTCGCATAGCGGGTTGGATATCCAGGTTAATAAAAAAAAACGTTAACAAAAGTTTGAACTAAACAAATTATGGTGAAATGAAAATCTTATAATATTTAATTTAATACACATTGATACATCTATTTGCAAGTTATCGAGATGTTATATTAAGATTTAGATGTTGTTTGTTTATCTTTTAATAGTTTTATTAAGAGACGGTCTTTAAATCGTTAATAGATGAATCTTGTTTGACAAAAAAAAAATCTGTCTCTTAATGGTTCTAAAACCTTCTGAATGATTTTGTATCATGAGTCCCCTTAACCATTCAGCGCCCTAATTTCATTGTAAACAATTAACAAACAATTCTATTTCATTTTGCACTATATCATAAGAGTTTGTTTAATCATTTTGCATCAAACCGTTCAATAACTGCCAAACAGCCTCTTATTTTTGTTTTATAATAGAAATTTATACCCTTTACATTGAATGGGCATACAATTATTCCTTTTGTCTCAAATAAATATTCATAATAAAAATGACATACAGTTTTAAAAAATGTGTAACGATTACACTTTTTAATCAACTAAATAACAATTTTACCTGTATTAACATGCAAAGTAATTTTCTCCGTCTCATAATTAAGTGTAGAATGGCAAATAGACATTTTTTTACGAAAATGAATACTTATCTTTTTAGACAGAAGAAAATTGAAATGTCAAAGCTTAGAACATCTTCAACAGATCATCTAAAAGAGAGAAAATGATGGTTTTGTTCTTTATTTTGCTCTAAAAGATATGCGTTAATATTCTCCAAAATAGAGGAAACAGGAAAAAAAATTGAAGTTTAGAAAAATCTCTAAACTTGATTGGAGGGGATTGAAATTATTTTTTAATCATTTCTACCAATAAGATTAAACCATTATTATTGTATATAATTTTTTTTTGATTAACCTAGATATCCAACCTGTTATGCGAGCCGACTAATCCGAGGACAACCATCTGCTTTGCAGATAGCTCGGAGTTACCGCATTTGAATCTCCGTGGCCACAAGATGATTTTTATTTCTCCTTGGATTTGAACCTAAGATCTCCTGGTATTTTTGACATTTGGAGTTAAGCTCAAACCAATAAAACACCACGTTTATGGTTGTATATAACTTTTTTTAGATGTGCTACGATGATAAAACTATATAATATTTAACAATATAATTAATGTTGCAAATTCTAAAATAAAGAATTTGTTAGAATAAATGTAATTTTATTTATAAATTCTGGTTTTTTTATTTTATAAAAATTATAGAAATTTGTCAAAGAGCCTTTGGTTTAGTTATATGTGAAACCTTGATCTCTTAACAGATCAGCGGTTTAAACCTCATCAAAATGAAGATAATGTATGAGTTTATTTATTATATATATATGTATATATATTTAAAAAAATTATGTAAAATTTATTAAATATTTATAAGTTTAATAGTCAAGCGGAGGTTCGCTCAATGTGGGGCCCACCTGCCGGCTCCAACCCCTACATGAAACGATGGCCAAAAAGTTCCCCACCATTTCATCTTTTTTTTTACTGCCATTTATTTTTATAATTATTTGACCATAAGCATTTTATATATACACTTCTAAAACTTAAAGTCATTTGCCTTTCTATTAATCATAACTTATTTTATATATATATAGGGTTGGGTTCACGTAAGACCAAAGGTTTTTTGTGAGACCTGTAAGACCAATTTATGTTCATTGATCAACTTTATAAGCTAATAATCTAATGGTCTAAAGTTGTACGGTGACAATTTTGTGATTATTAAGAAGTCTCGTGGTAATTTTGTGATTATAAATGTTCAGATTGTAGATCTAAATCTAAGGGTTGAGAATTGATCTTACAAGTCTCACGAAAAACCTTTGATCTCACATGATCCCAAGTCTATATATATATATATATATATATATATATATATATATATATATATATAATAGAGTATCATTCTTTCACCATTCATATAATTTGTATTGTAGGTGACTCTTCAAAAACAAGATCAATAATATTCTCATTTAATCTTTGACCTCTTTATAATCTTTTCTTTATAATCTTTACTTTCGTGTTTTGGAATATTTACATAACATAATGCCATTCGAGAACTGACGTTTTTAAATATTTCAATACGAAATTATAAACCGTAGGTTTCGTTCCTCTTTCATTTAACTATTTTAATATACATCATACATTCACGAATTCTTACATTAAAAAACCGTAATCAAACTCCATAAATCTTGTTCATCTATCTAAAAACAATTTCTCTATTTATCAAATTAGAAAAACACTGGACAAGATACGTATACCATAATCACAAAATGTCATGTATCTTTGTTCAACATTATAAGATAAACCAAATGGTCTTTCACCTAGCGGTATGCAAGTCATTGACTTTCTAAGATGTCATAGGTTCAAACATCACCAAATATGAGGAAAGTGTATGAGTTTATTTGTTCTATTTATCGCAGATAAATATTATATACTGCAAAAAAAAAAAAAAAATTACAGAATAAATTTTAAGAATTATAAAAAAATATGTCATGTATCTTTATTTGACTTATCAAATCATATTTTTTATGATCCATCTTGTCATGTCTTTATAATCATCTTTTTCATACTTTTTGTTTAAACTTTATCTCATCCTCTTCAACCCAATAATCAATTTTCTTAATTACTTCTTTTATTTTAATAATTAAATTAATTAAGTAAACTACAAATTTGGTCCCTTTGGTTTGTCGAAGATAACGTTTTTCGTCCTTATTATTTTGAAATTAGAAGATGGGCCATCGTGGTTTGTATAAACGTCAAGATTTGGTTCTTTCCTTTAACGGTCGTTATAGATTTACGTTAAATAGGAGACATTTTCGTTATTTTATTATTTTTTTTTGTTTTACCCAATTAGAACTGATTTTATGATTTTGATTCATGTGGTTTTTAATTGGGTAAAAGACAAGAAAATGATAAATTGTGAAAATGGCTCGCATTTAACGGAACTTTGAACGTCCGTTAGAATGATGGATCAAATTGGAAAGTTTTTATAAACTACGATAGATAGCTTGTAACTTTGAAACTTCAAGGACAAAAGGTGTTATTTTTGACAAACTACGTGGACCAAACTTGTAGTTTACTCTAAAGTGAATATTTTTTTAACAGTATTACTTTTCAACAAATACAAATCAATTTCAATCGTCCATTTAATGTGATGAATATGTGATTATATAAAAGTTTTAATTTTTTCCTAATATAAAGTATTGATCATAATTAATGAACTTTAGTCATCTTCCATAAATATTTAAATCATAATAAATGAACTTTCATCATTTACATAAATATCTCAATTAATTGAGTTACATTGATTGTACAAATAGACATGGTTGCATATGAAATATATCATATATATATATATATATATACACACACACACACAACATAT